ATCTCTTAAACCGAAAGATACAGCAAATATGTGAATTGTTTGATGAAAAATGCCTCTTGAATCTACTCTCGATTGAAATTTTAATTGCTCGTACTCTATGAATATTGCGCAGGGAAATGGTTGCTTATATTGCTAATACCTTAATTTTCATCTTGAGGTAAGTGCATAATCGAGCACTCTTTAATTGCGTTTTGTTTCGTGACAATAATTAAAGGGAGAACAGAACTAACTTACTGTACCATTTGCTTGATCATGATTTACATCCATTAAAACACATTTTCTGTTTTTGTTTTGTTTTTCAGTGGAGTTGTTATAGCTGAAGGTGTTCTTAGCGGTGAAAATGTTTTTGATCATGGTAATCCTTACTTTTCAAACATATAGATATGCATTTATGTATTCATAAATATATGTCACTTGCTTAGTCATAATTATGCATACGCACACGCGCACACACAAACACAGGCCGATCAGGTGCGGAATCTTCCAAAGTACAAAGGCCGAACAGTCAAGCTTAACACTACTGCATATTTTTGTTGTTTCCCGCCGTGTACCTTTTAAATATTTATTTTTCATGTATATGTTCTTGCAGATATTTATTCAACTTGTTTCCCTGTAACTAATCGTTTTTGTTTCAGGAAAATCTTGGTTCTACCTCATTCTTCTCTATGTTTACGTTCAAGTTTCCCGGTTCATAGTTGTTGCAGTTTCATTTCCCCTTCTCCGGTATTTTGGCTATGGTTTGGACTGGAAAGAGGCTATAATCCTTATATGGTCAGGTCTACGAGGGGCTGTAGCGTTGTCACTTTCACTGTCAGTGAAGTGAAGGCAAGTTATTGTTATTTACAAACTTTTGTTTATGCAAAGCAAAATTTAACTTTTATACCTTGTTGGTGTGGCACTCTCGCAATATTTCATTAGTACCTTGAGTTGAATATCAGAATTTGCGACGAATATAACTATAAAATAGTAGGAATATTATTAAACAAATAAGAATGCCAAAACGGCTACAAAACTCTAAGAAACCACATTGTGAATGACTTACTATTCTATAGAGTTACAAAATACCATATATATAGAAAACTAACATAACCCTAATAGGCAAGGAAACGAAACTCTAATAATAACGGGCTAAGCCCAAAATACCAAACATTAAAATAAATCTAAATAATAATATTTTCCAACACCTTCATCAAACTCATGTGGTACACGACATGAGTTAATATTTTCCAACACCTTCATCAAACTCATGCGGTACACGACATGAGTTTGTCAACAAGTAAATGCGGATGCAAGCTCCATTATGCTAATTTCCAATGCCAATTTCAATACGAAACTTCACTGGTGCAAGTGCAAGATTTCAATGTCAATGCCAGTGCAAGATTTCATGCCAGTGCCAATGCAAGATTCCATGCCAGTGGCAGTGCAAAATTTCCATGCCAGTGCAAATTCCAACTTCCGAACAAACAAACAAAAAATCAAATTTACTCTGTCCACAACGTCACTCGAGTGATCACCAGTCCAAGCACTCGAGTGATCATTGTTCCAACAGAACTCTTGTGCACGCAACAAATGACCCAACAAAACAATCCTCATTATAGGTCAACGAATTTACTTTTCCTTTTTTTTTTTTTTGTACTTTTTTTTCCCTTTCCTTTTCTTTTCTTTTCTTTTTACCTGGGGTCTTCTCCTGATCACGTAAAACAATGCAGCAATCAATTCCATTGCACATTGCAGAACGAGTTGGTGCGGATACAATTGCGGCCGGGTGTAGAAAACGGATAGGGTGCTGATGAAGGTGGTGTCGCGACTGGTGGGCAGGCAAAGCAGGTGGTGCGGTACGTGTAGTGTGGGCGGGTCAATGCGATCTCGTTTCACGAGTTCAATCTTCAGACTACGGCGCGGTTGACAGCTATTTCAGTTCCTGATATTTTCTTTTTCCAAACTATTATCTGACAACTAAAGTAAAGGAACAACGGAGACAATAAAGACAAACAAATCGATTCCAAATGAAGACAGAAAACAAACATGCATTCACCAGATCGAACATAAGCGGAAGCCTAATCAAGATTCGAAATGAAACCAAACAATTTTCAGCCAACAAATTGATACCAAACCAAAGCAGACTGATCCCAAAGAATCAAACCTGCATATCAAGTTGAATATCAGAGTGTGCGACGAACAAGACTACAAAATAGTAGGAAAATTATTAAACAAACAAGAATGCCAAAACGACTACAAAACTCCAAGAGACTACATTGTGAATGACTTATTATTCTATAGAGTTACAAAGTACCATATATATATATAACTAACTTAACCCTAATAGACAAGAAAACGAAACCCTAATACTAACGGACTAAGCTCAAAATACCAAACAATAAAATAAATCTAAATAATAATTTTTTCTAACCCTTGTGGTTGAAAATCAATCCCCGCTGTTGTTTATTTCGTTACTTTTTTCTTTTCAAGTTGGATGGTGCATCATAAGCTGTCCGTTCTCAATAAACCAGCTGCTAAACCTCAGTCTTCTCTATTTTTTTTTCCTTCTGAATACCCATGATTTTTATGGCTTCTAATTGATTTACATTTACTCTTGCAGAAAACTAGTGACAGTTCTGCACTTATCAGTTCTGATACCGGAGTCCTGGTATGTATCTGGAGCGTGACTGCTTGCCCACAGAAAATCATGTTTGTCTGTTCTTTTAGCGTGTAGTATGTTAGATTTGCAAACAAAGCGAATTAATTAACATTGGACATCACTTGAGATACTTATTTAAGAAATCTGTTTAAATCTTTGCAGTTTGTTTTTTTCACTGGTGGAATTGTCTTTTTGACACTAATTGTGAATGGTTCCACCACACAATTCATTTTACGCCTTCTAGATCTGGACAAGCTATCAGCAGCTAAGGTGAGGTTTAACCACATTGTCCTTGTAGACGTGTGGTACTGCTTTATGTTTCTGTTCTTTGTTTCGGGCTTATAATTTTCAAGTAATTCCTCAACATTTCATGCAGCTGTAAATCCATTTGAAGGTGGAAATCCATTTGGGCACTTGTTATGAGAATTTTCTTCCGTTTATGCATTTGGTTTCTATATCTTTGTCTTGTTACAGAGGCGCGTGCTGGAGTACACAAAATATGAAATGTTGAACAAAGCATTAGAGGCTTTTGGCGATCTTGGAGATGACGAGGAGTTGGGACCTGCTGACTGGCCAACTGTGAAAAGATATATTGCAAGCTTAAATGACATTGACACCGAACCTGTACACCCTCACAAGGCATCAGAAAGTGGCAATGATCCGCATCTTACAAATTTGAAGGATATACGTGAACGTCTTTTGAATGGTAAATTTAGCAACATATTTCAGTCCCAGTAACTTTCAAGCTTAGGCATTTGTTAGTCCTAGTAACTTTCAAGCTTAAAGATACTGGTGTGAAAGTTAAAGGTCACTATATCTAACTATGGCCTCATTTGCTAAAACAAAAAATCATTTTAAATCAGGAGTCCAAGCTGCTTACTAAAAATTCCAGCTTGTTACAGCTACCAAAACTACACGAAGAGTTCTGTTTGTCAAATTTTCGGTACTTTCTCAAAATAACGTGTTTTAATCAAACTTTGTAATGCATGGCAAGTGAAAAGATAATACAATGGTATGAACTCTGGAACTGATTTGTTTAATTCCCCTTATGTTTAGGAAAGTTCTATTGCTCTTGTGAAACTTTTCCTTCCACAAATATTTGAGAAAATGGCAATGCAAGATTTGAGAACTCTTGTTGCGGAAAGGTCAGTGATGCCGATTTACATAAGGGGCGAATCTTTTGAAATTCCATACCGTTCCATTGGATTTCTGTTAGAGGGTTTCGTTAAAACCCAAGGTGTCCAAGAAGAACTTATCACATCACCTGCACCTCTATTCCCCTCACATGGTTACCAGAGCTTCCAGAATCTGGAAACATCAGGTAATAATTAACTTCTGTTTCGAAAGATACTTCTCAGAACAAGTTTCGTTCTTGCATAAACCACTTCCCCATCCTTAATGCTAATCATTAACCTTTTGCCGATGATTGGTCACAGGCACCAGGGGAGCCAGTTTTTCTCATAAAGGATCCAGTTATCTCGTTGAAACAAGGTCGAGAGTGATCATATTCGACGTTGCAGCATTTGAATCCGACAGTGCTCTGATTAGATGCTCATCCTCATTTATATCAAATGGAGTTGATCATCATCCTCACAGGTCTCTTCCTAGAGAGCATAGTGGTCTTATGAGTTGGCCTGAGGACATTTTCAAAGCAAAGCAACAAAAGCAGAACCCCGAAGGGATTGACAGACAAATCAACAGCCTGTCAGCGAGGGCGATGCAGTTCAGCATTTACGGCAGCATGGTGAGCTTGGTTTCTTTACGTTCTTTCGCACTTCGAATACAATTCTGGTTTTATCTTTTTGCTCAAGCAAACTTCTTTTCTTATGTTGTTATGCAAACAAGGTGAAGGTGAATCCACAGAGGTGCGCTCGAAGCTTTCTGAGAAGTGGCCCGATTAATCCACCACGCACCCTGTCATATCCAAGCATGCCATCGTATCGAGGCCGTTCACACAAGGTATCATATCCAAGTGTTCCATCTCATCACAACAGTCCACTGGTTTCAGTCAGATCAGAAGGGGCAACAACTGTGAGAAAGGATTATGAAGCGAGAAAAGTCACGGCCCAATCAAGTCTTCTAGGGCAGCAAAGTACAGAACCAAATAAGAGCCATGTGGTAAACGATTCGAGTGATGAATCGGGTGGTGAGGATGATGTAACAGTGAGAATCGATTCACCAGGTAGGCTTTCTTTTTGCCAGGCTCCTTGAATGTTTACCTCATGATTCCGAAAAACCACGGTTGTAATGTCGGATTCACTATCGTTCCAAGTTTTAAACAAGTCTCTGTCTAATATTTATTTTAGTTGGATCAGAGAGATCCTGTACGCGACATCAACTATCGATTGATTGTACAAACGAATAACTAAAGTTTGCAAATTTTGTCGATTCGCTCCCCCAACGGAGGGATTAGATGAAGAACTACACTTACGTCTATAATAATTTTGCAGAAGTTCAATCTTATACATGAAACTTCTGCTATCACATCTAGAAAATTAATTTGTTTCAACATTCTACTCGTGAGAACCAAAATATAACCTTCCATCAAGCCTCGTAAAGCATTCCAACCTCGATACGTTGAGGCAGAGGCACCCCGAGAGCAGGCAGAGAGGACCGACAGTTGCTGTGCAGAACTTCATAAAATGGTAGCATAATTTTATCGAACCAGCAGCAGTTATTTCCAACATAAAACCTTGTTTTCCCTCGAACGTGAAGTACGCCAGCACTCCTCGCTGCTTCCAAATTAGATATCTGTTCTCGGACCTCTGAAGGATCAGATGGGAAACGGCCTGAGGTGTTCTGTATATGTGCCTGCAAGCTATTAGTTAATTGACTAACAAAATCGTCTCCTTCGAGGTTTAGGGCATCTGCATAGCCATACTGAATAACGCACCCATAAACTCCTTTCAGGCCGAGTTCACTGATAACAATCCTCTCATGGGGGTAAACCTTCGGAACCAAAAGGTATCGAAGAGTAGTGAACATAGTGACCTGGTGAAGGGATTTCATGTTTTTAATGTAGTGTCCAAGAATCGGAGTGAGCCCGTCTTGAATGTTGGTGTAAAAGAAGCACAATCCGGGAACCCTTTGAACACTGGGATCAGATAATAGCTGTTCAAGTCTGTCTAAGGTTATCTTATGAGCCAACTCATATTCTAGCTTTCTCTGTCTCCCATAGAACCAACCAAACATAATGAAGGCGAGTATAAAGGATATGGCAAACGGAATCCATCCACCTTCCGCGATCTTTGTGAAGACTGCACTCACGTAAACACCTTCCATCACGAAGAATACACAGAAGTAAAGAGCAACCAATACCGGTGGTGTTCTCCATATTATGATCATTACCAGTGTCAGCAATATTGTAGTGATGAGCATGACTAGACTGACAACAACACCTGAAATAAGGTTGTGGCAATAGTCAGAAAATTATAAAAGATGCCTGTATAAGATGTTGACGAAAATGTTAACTTTCCAACGGTAACACATAATGCTTTCAAAATTAACGTACCAAATGCATTTCCAATTTCTTTTCCATCTCCGAATATAAGTATGACAGCAACGCAGAGAACCATGAGGATGTAGTTGACTTCGGGGGAGTAAACCTCGCCTTCTTTGTTAGTGGATGTGTGCACAACCTTCACCCGAGGGAAATAATCAAGCACTACAGATTGCTTAATTACAGAAAAGGTGGCTGATATCAGAGACTGGCTTGCAACTATCGCAGCCAATGTGGATATGACAAAGATAGGCCAGTAGATACTTTTTGGTATAAACTTATAGAATCCATCATCATGATCATTTGGATTCCTGATCAGGTATGCTGTCTGCCCCGCATATGTCAGAATCAAAGACGGATAGATTGTAAACAGGAAAGCCATCTGTTGAGGAAAATATATCAGAAACCTACTGAGACAAAAGAAATGGAACCTTAAAGACATATCGATGTTATTGGAGGTGAACCTGAATAGAGCTTCTGTTGAAATGACCAAGATCTGCAAACAATGCTTCGGAGCCTGAATTAAACAGGGAACATCGATTAAATGATTATTTCCAAGACTGCAAGGTACATGATCCAAAAGGTAATCAAGTCTATCTTCCATACTAAATAATCTATATCTTGATATCAATATGACAGTCACCTGTGATGCAAAGGACAGTGCCACCAAGCAACAGCCAGCCTTCCTTGCCATTTCTTTGAAAGAAATGGAAGATAAAGTGTGGTGATATAGCCTTAAATATGCCGGGATAATGACGTATGATGCTATAAATTCCCATGAGCGGCGTAACCAAAGTCCATGTACCCATAATTGGGGAAAATAGGAAGCTCACTCGAGATGTACCAAACTTTTGTAACAAGAACAGAATGATAAGGACTCCTGCCGAAAGTGCTTCGACCAGAGCTGCAACATATAAACCAGAATAGCAAAGAAATTCAAATGCGATACAACAATGTAGCGGAGAAGTAATAACCTGATACCATTTAAACCATTGCACTCCAATTTCCTAATCAGAAAACTGGCCTCATTGGCCTAGCATAGCAATAAAAGGTGACATCCTTACATGAACTGAGAGATGGAAAAGGCGCCCTCACTCCATCCATTGCTGATAAAACTGGCGATATAGAAGTATCGAAGTAAAAGAAAATTTGTAAATAAATCTTGCCAAAAGTAAACGAAAGACAGAATGCGCAGTGAAATACCAGAAATTGCAGGTGTAAGAATACCATCGCCAATAACCATACATGTGCCTAACATGGCAATAAAAAGCAACATCCTTCTGGCAACTACACTTTTCTTGAAAAACTTGGCAAGCCCACTCTGGTTTTCTATGCCGTCATCCAAGATAGAGCGTGAAAGACTTGAGTTTGAACTTGCAGGCTTTGAATTAAGGATTCCAATATTCATATGCCTGCAAAGTAATGAATATAGGGCAAAAGTTCCACCTGCAATCCATCGGTGAACGCAGATCAGAATATGTTATTACGTGAGCGAACCCTCATATTTACATTTGCGTCTCGTCTTCACCTTGACATACAAACAAGAGGTTTATCGATACATGCTGCAAAACGTTAATGCTTGGAAATATAGGATAATGACACTCAAGGTCTAACTTTTAGGGGCAGTCTCAAGATGTCACCTTCCATTCATGATCACGGCTTAACAATGCTGATTTTACAGGTTTTCGTATACGCGTGTGATTTCCAGTTGCCTATCGCATACCAAATGTAAGTAACGAATGCAAAATGTTTAACAACAAAAATGCTCAAACACAGTAATCACATCCACTAGAAGTGAACAAGCATAAATAAACTGAAGACAGCGGATAAATGTAAGGACCAGGAGTTCTTCGAAGGTGAAACAAAAGTGAGCTTGAGTGTACCTTCGCCATGATCGTCGGCATTGAGAGCAATGCTGGCATACTTGACAACCCCAATGAGAGTGAGAGTCCAGAACATGATGCTGTAGATACCCAAATAGTCAGCTTCTGTGGGAGACTTGAGATGCATTGAAGGGTATACATACAGTGGGGATGTAACAAGCCCTCCAAACACCACTCCCAGCGTCCTGTAGGCAACTAGCAGATTCCCCCATCTACTTTTCCCCTGAAATCAAACAAGTTTTGTCATTAACAACGCCTTAATCCTGATTAACTCATTACATTAAAACACCAAAACAATTAACAATCTTTCAAGCAATTGAGCAGAAGAATTTACAACTAATACAACAAATAAAAAACTTTTGAACCACATGAAATAAAAACAGGGGAAAGCCATTGCATGTCGATAAAGTAATCATCTTTTTCAAATTTTTGTTAAAACAATAAAGAAGTATTTAAAACCCCATCAACAAAAACACAAAATACAAATAAAACCAAAGCGAACGCCTGCCTGCGTCCCCACATCAGATATTCATACGATTCCCCACCTTGTCGTTGTCTGTATCTCCATTACCAATGCGAGGGCGATTGAGACGATGATCATTGGTGGCAGAATCGACGACAACAGAAACCTCAGACGAAGTTGCCGGCGGCGAGTGCGGTGGTTGATCCATTAAAACACAACCACCACCACCACTGACACACAAGCCCCCAACTCAGCTCAGAGCCTCCCCGAGTTGTTAAGACTCGGAGTCGGAGTCCGAGCGACAAGCTGGAGAAGAAGGAGGACTAATTCCCCTTTAATTTGTATTTCCTTTTTTCTTGCAAAGATGTGGATCATTCAATCTCAGAGTTTGAAAATTTTGAGTTTTATAATTATTGAATTCTTGAAAACTTTGCGAAGATGTGAATCATTGAATCATTGACGAAAGTGGTCGAATGAGATTACGAGAGTGAGGAGGAGGATTAAAAGAAAATTAATGGAAATAATTTGAAAATTTTTAAATTTTAATTATAAAAATAAAATAAAAAATAAAATAAAAAGTATTAAGATTAATTTTCTAATATAAAAATATAATTTTTATTAAAATAAACAGTACGAACACTTTCTGCTAAAATTTTTTAAAATAAAATCTTGAGTTTGCCAACGTCCACGTGACTTCCAATTTGCAACACGTGCCATGCTGACCTTTAAGCGGGTGGGCCCCCCACTTATCTCTCGGCCCTTTCAGTCCTTCTGCATGTATGGTATTGTTGGTTTTGCCTTCACGTCGGGTTTTGTCAATGCAGCAGCACCACACATCAATACGACTAAAACATCTGATCTCACTCACGCACGGATTCATATGACAAGGGCGGGTATTCTGTCACCATCGTTCGTTCGTTGCCAATAAAATAAAGAAATTTTAACGAAAAACTTTTAGTGTTATTTATTTTAACGAAAAATAATATTTTTATATTAAAAATCAATTATGGTGCTATTCATTTTATTTTTATTATGTTTTTATCGTTAAAACTTAAAATTTTCAAATTATTTTCATTAATTTTCTTATAAAATAAAAACGTGTAAATTTATATATTAGTTTGTGTTTAATTTATCGACAAAAGTTTTACATAACGTTGTATACTGAGGCGCACACATGCTCTTGTTCAATTAGGAAAAGATAAATTAGGAAAAGATAAAAGTGGCTGAAGAATAAGAAGGAGCTTTCGATTTAGACTGATTCAATTGTATGAAATTAGGGAGGGGAAATCTCTATATCTCCGCTAACAATGTAAGCAACTGTATGATGAGGAAAATGATCCAGATAATACCTGATACGAGCGTGTTTGGAATTTTTTATATACAAAACAGCCGATATCGATATATCCATCAGTATTTTACAATTTGCATATCAATATCTCCATTGATAGTGATATTTTAAATCATCAATACGAGTAGCACAATAAGATTTTTAGAATGTCAATAATCACATTTTAAAATTTTACCTAACTATCATATATGTATAGAAGAGAAAAACATAACACGACCACATGTATGTGATATTCTCTATCCATAATTTGTCTATGCGCTAGATTCTTATGTGGTTTTTCCGGGAAACATCATAAACTTGTAATTTTACTATTGCTCATATTTTTAGATGTAGAATTATATTCTACCCCTGGCATGGATTTGTATTTTTCCAGATTATAATTCTATTTCTATCTGCCTTTCTTTGGTGGTAGGGTCTTTTTATTAGGTAAAGTTAGCCAATTAGGGACGAAGTCAAGCAGTGAATCACAATTTACTATCAAATTCACTATAAATATACCATTTTTGCAGCATGAATTAAACTTATACCTCCTCAAACTATATAAACTTTGAATGTCACTGGACCAACCGATCATGTGTGAAAAGCCAACCATCAATATTCTTGTGTGGGCAGATCATACCTTGTATGATCAATAATAACATGAAATTAATAGGATTTAAACTCCAAAAAAGGAAATCCAACCAATTTTTCCATCGGACCGTACTTCTGTGGGATACCTTGCCTTCTAAACTCAATAATTAACATGAACCTAAAAGAGATTCAATTTGTTACTATTTTTTAAAACAGATTAAATTGGGAAAAAAACTTCCAGTTGTCTTTACTAGTTAGAGAAGGAGAACACTCTGGCAGTTTTTCCACATATATTTGTCAATATTGATGATAAAGATGCTTATAGAAGCATCAGTAAATTTGATAACTATGAATGAATTATTTGATTTGTCAATGAAGACTACAAGGAAGTGGTGGAAAATATATGCTAATGCTATGCATCTCATTTGGGGTAAGGCTATGTACGGTGATGAACCAATATTTATACTACATATTTAGTCTTTTTATATTTGTTTTCTTGTCTAGTTTAGTGGAAGTTTTATGTATTTGTGATACTTTTGCTATATTGTGTTTCTAGGAACAACATGATCGAGTTTGGTGGAAAAGCATGCAAACGGTGAAATTTTTAAGTCATTCCAGTTGGAGTTGATTCACAATAGATTAATTATCATTTCAAGTTTTCAGCTCAAAATTCCCAGCAAATTGTTCCCAGTTTAAGAACGAATACAGGTCAGCGTGCTGACAGGACAGTTTGGACCTCTGAGAGTTGCACGAGAGATAAGTACATAATTAAAGCCTAAATTGAGAAAACTTCCTTCTTAGATTTTGAAGCTGACGTTTCAAGCTTTCTAAGGACATCTCATTATTATTATTATTTTTTTTTGAAAGAAAGGGTATAAATTAATGAAACCAACGCATTACATAAGATCCTGGCTAAGGAGGCCCTAAATGAAATCAGGAGGATCCTCTAACTATACAAAATCATTACCAGTTGAAATGGAAAACTTAGCTAATCTATGGGCAACCCCGTTACATATTCTTGCCACATGCACAAACTAGACCAAGGAAACCAACTCCGCCACAAACCTGACATCCTCCGCTAGCAAACCAAACTCGGACAAATCGTGAGAGTAGTTGTTGATAGCAGCAATAGCGAGCGCGGAGTCACTCTCCACAATAACTCGTCTAATCTGCAACCTCCCTACCAACTGAAGCCCCTCCAAGACTGCCTCAAATTTTGCTTGAAGAGCCGGCCCAATACCCTCCTTCTTCCAAGCTCCTGCTGCTATAAATTGCTATGTCTCATCCCTCAACACCACACCCACTCCGCAAAACACAACTTCCTTTTTAGACCATCTCCAAAGGAAATGTCAAATTATAAGAGTCAAATTACAATTGATGGCTGATATGGCAATCTGAAGTCTTATGTCAAATTTTGTAATTCTCCAACTGAATTGTCAAATGTTATTTTATTATTTAAATACAACTTTAAATGATTGTAATTATTAAAAAAAATGTTGAAATACAATTTTTACTGGTTGAAATGTTAGTGGAATAAGGAATCCGCTATTAAAATGAATTAAAAATAAATTTGACATTGATGTCAAATTTGACATCAAATCACTAAGCCTTCAAATCCAGTCAGCAAATAACACTTCGGTTTGAATGTCAAATATGCACAATGACATTTCACCTAGGATTTTGACATCTCATTTGAAGATACTCTTAATGACCAACTTGAAAGGAAAGGCAACATCATTGTCTTGTGCTTTGCTTTGTCATCAACACTCGGCAGAAAATTGGGTTGGGATTCCACTCATTTGCCTTTGGAGCAAGATAAAAAGCAGGAGGATAGAGAGTGGAGAACATGGGGTGCCCACTATGAAGTGGAATTGGGCTTGTATTCCACTTGTGGTCTTTGTGGCTTTGAAAATTCGGGGCCTTTTGTTTAAGGCAACAGACGACAACAAGGGGAGAAGAGGGAGCAGCAGAAAAGGAGAGTTGCAGAGAGCGAGATAGCAGAAAATAGAAGGGGTGCCACAGCTTCGCATTTGAAGAGAAGAAGAAAGTGCTCCTCTCTTAAAGGAGAAGATCGGAGAGACCAGGAATAATTATTGTAAAAAATGGTTGTTCTCTTTTTTTAATTCTTCATAGATAATTTCTTATGTATTTAGACAAATATGTATAACTATTTTCAATCACTGAATTAAACTATCTATGTGTCTTGATGTTTGATCATCATTAGGATGCTTAGAAAAGTCATCGATGCAATTTTGAACGAATATCACGTTAAAATTGGTTTTTCTTCTTGTGATTGAGGATTGTAATTTCTCCTAAGGTAAATATCAAACTTTTAGGGATTACATTGTTTACCAAAAGGATTTTCACCAAGATTAATGAATCACTCATGTTTATATTTAATCCAAATGTCATGGATGAATTGCATGTAGTGGTATGCGTTTTAGCTTGAATGTCACAAGTAAAACTACACAAGGAAAAACCCAACCTTCAAAGCATGTGTGTTTTCGATTATTTGAGCAATTGGAAGAGCTACATAGGAGTGTTGTTGGTAATGGTTGAACTATAGTGCCTCGTTAATCTAATTTTCTTCAATTATTTATATTATCTTGAGTTTCTACATTTACTTGTTTTGCTTAGTTGGATCACTATTTCCATAAGCCAATTCCCATTTTAGATATTTGTTTAAGTCACGTACAGTATGATTTAGTTTTGTCAAATTAGTGTCGTTCTTAGAGTTAACTAAGTTAAATACTCCAAAACTAGTAAATTGTTTATACCAGTCTTCGAGGAGATCGACCTTGCTTGAGCCATTTTATACTACAAAAACTTATTCTCTAGCAAGAATTTTCTATGATTTAACCCTTGTTTTACAGGTGGTAAAATCTCTATCATACGGGTTTGAGTTGTGGAAAATAGTCTTTTTGCAAGGCAAGAAAAAAGCTGCGTACGATTTATGTTTCTTCAAACTCTCATAAAGTGGAGAACTTGTTGGCTTGGGATCCCCCTTTATGCATCTCATTTGGAATTGAAAACCCTAATTTCTAATTGCATGAAATGCCGTTTAATTAGTGACGCACGCAAAGTTGGAACCTGTAGCACATCAAGATCGAGTAATGAAATATCAGTTGGGTCAAACCATATTTTGGTTTGTGCTTCTTGTTTTCTTCCTATAAACCAGTAGCGTATTTGGAAGTTCGGAACTATGTGTTATCATATATTCTCTTCATCCTTCGATAACGCATACATATAGCTAAGTAACAATCACACAAATGCCAACCATATTGTATTTTAACCAACGGGTTAATGTTGGTGACTAATTTTAAACCAAATTTATAAGTTACATGATGTGTCACCAATAAAAAATATTAATCATCAACAATCACGATATATAATTTACAAAATTTAGTTTAAATAGATGGTCTCTTGACCCTAACACTACCCATGACCAACGTAAAGCCAATAGTCTCCCATCATCAGGATGGATTTGGATCCTCTCCTGAGCTTAGGAGGCTAAGCCTCCTGAGCAAATCGCATGGGCCGTTGAATTTTGATCTAACGGTTACAATTATTAAAACTTTTAGAAAGCCCCATGTTTGTAGTTATTGGATCAAAATCCAACGATCCGTGTGCTTTGCTCAGGAGGCTCAACCTCCTAAGCTCAGGAGATGATCCAAATCCCAATAGGATATGGTGTGCAATCATATAACACATCATGATTAGTGCGTCCCCATCAACCATTCAAAATAAATTATCGGTCACACGATAATCAAACCTGTGTAATATTCTAAATAAATCATGATGCAGAACTAAAGACAAAAAAGCAATAATTACATGTGGAGGATAAATTTTAAGTTGTAACGAGAACACAAGTGGTACATCACGTGTTTTAATAGGAGTGGTGAAAATTTTTATTTTTTGAGTTATTAACTTTTTAGTACACATATCTCACCATTTGTATAGTAACACGTGATGTATCACCATGTGTATCAGTCACACTAAAAAATCTCTCCGCTTAGAGATCAATCAGCATGGAAAAGTGTTACTCAATGATTAGCATTTAGAACAGACTGATCATGCTCCAACGTATGTTTCATTCCACCGTCAATTGTTAAATCTCTCCAAAATGTCTCCGACTCCGACTCCGACTTACAGGTTACGAGAAGCATGCAAGTAGACCTTGAATCCTCTTTTAAAATATTTTCTTTTACTTGCTTTGCTTGTAGTTTTTTTATGACCTCAGTCAAAGTCGTACTGTCGTTTTTCGCGGTCCTTTGAAAGCAACTCTGAAAAATCATGAAGGAGGCGGCAGAGGAGGAAGATTAGAAGTGCTTTACTGGTGACGCGACCAAAAGAAGAGAGGAGGTAGGGAAGGAGAAGTTGACGTGAGGAAGAGGTGGCTGGTGGTGCCACGTGATTAACAAGTAACCATGCAAGGGACAAAATCAAGTTTTCTTTAATACCCTTCTACCAGTCCAGTGGGCCACGATTCCAAGCCCTAATTTCAGCCCGCAAAATTTGACCGGTTTTGGACTGACCTTTTGACATGGATGTATCTGTTGCCCGTGTCCTTTTCTTTTCGTCTTTGGTAAGTTTGTGCGGTGAACTTGAACCATTTTAGTATTCAATACTTCGGAAGTCGCCATCAGCATGCATCAGTCAATTGCGACGAGTTTTTAATAGTTCGGATTACTTAGTAATAAATAACGATCAAAATCAAAATGAAGAATTTTTATATTTTTGTTTATTGATAATGTGATGAATATAAAATCAGACTGTTCAGTAATTCGAATTATTAAAAACTTACCTTAAAATCAAATGTCACGTGTAACTTTATCATTTTTCATCCTCCTCTTCCTGTTCATATATATGCTTTATAAAAAATGAAAAGTTTAAATTTCTTATACAACGTGATTATGAAATCTACCACAACCAAATAATATTGGAAGAGAATTTGTACGAATTTTCTTAAAATATAAGCCAGTTCCAAACATCATAAGCCATTTAGATCGCCTCCCTTTGTTGTAAAATAAGTGAGCCAATAAGAGTTGAATATCAGAGTGCATAACGAATAAGACTACAAATTAATAAGAATATTATTAATCAAACTAGAATGCCGGAACGGCTACAAAACCCTAAGAGACTACATTGTGAATAGCTTGATATCTCGAATGAATAACAAAGCACTCTATTTATAATAAACTAACCCTAAACCCTAATGCTAACGGGCTAAGCCTAGAAAACCAAATATTAAAGTAAACCTAAATACTAATATTTTCCAACACCCCCCGTCAAACTCATGGCGGTATACGACATGGGTTTGCAAACAAGCAGATGCGGACTCGCTCCGTTAGGCTGACAGACAGACAGGTAGGCTCCGCCGCAACGCGGACAGATAGACAGGCAGGCTCCACCGCAACGCGGACAGACAGACAGGCAGGCTCCGCAACGCGGACAGACAGACAGGCAGGTATGCAAACTTGACTTGACTTGACTTGCGAACTGGTGAACTTGCGAACTTGACTTGACTTGATTCTTGACTTGACTTGACTGGCAAACTGGCTAGAGTTGAGAGTATGGAAAGAACCCGTCACTAAACGGACGAGATTTTCATATCTCAATTGTAGCAACAAACGAACAACGCCACCAACTGTGTGGGCCTTCAAACAAACTTAACCATAACTTTTTTTTTTCTCTGCCTGTGTGGGCCTAAACCAACATCAATTTTTTTTCTTTCTCCTGGGACCTTTCGAATGCTTTCCTCTTCAACAAACAATATAACTTTTTCTTGTATTGGACAACGGTTTTTCTTTTTCTTTCTTTTCCTTTTTTTTTTCATTTTTTCTTCTTCTATTTTTCGGCTTCTGTTTCCTTATTCTCTTCTTCTATCTGGGCAGTGTTCTCCAGAGAAAACAAATCCAAGTGCAGTATGGGATCTCAATTATGGGATTCTTGACGCGATGGGATAGCAGAGGCGATGAAGTGCGGATCAAAGCAGCAGCGAGGATGCGGGTACGGTGCGAAGGCAGCGCAGTCAGTGGTGGGTAGACGATTTCATGGGTCTGGTGCGGAGGTGCAAGTGGTGCGGGTCCGATCAAAGGGTGCGGATGCAGTGCAGGAAACGGTGTGGTGATGCGGCTGGTGTTGGATACGAACAACAGATGTGCTGGGTTTCTAGTTGCAGACCTGGTACGAAGGCTGATGGATGGGTGACGATGCAGCGGAAGTGGGGCAGATTCTTGTGGGTCGTTCGAGCAAACATAATCAAATTTTTTTTCTTTTCAAAACAAACACTGAAAACTATTATCAAACAAACAACATGGATACCTATCAAGAAGAACAGATTAAATCCCGAAAGATCAAACCTGCTCTGATACCAAGTTGAATATCAGAGTGCATAACGAATAAGACTACAAATTAATAAGAATATTATTAATCAAACTAGAATGCCAGAACGACTACAAAACCCTAAGAGACTACATTGTGAATAGCTTGATATCTCGAATGAATAACAAAGCACTCTATTTATAATAAACTAACCCTAAACCCTAATACTAACGGGCTAAGCCTAGAAAACCAAATATTAAAGTAAACCTAAATACTAATATTTTCCAACAATAAGTAATGGTTGAACTGCATCGGTTCATTAGAATATATATTACAGAGTGGGCCACATAAAAACATGTGTCTAAATACAGATTGTTTGTATCGTTAAAATATATTACAGAGTAGATCTCATAAAACGTGTCTAAAAATTCTATTAAAAATGGCGCCACTAATCCGTCTCCACATATATATACCTTATAGTAAAAAAGATTACAACAACAACAACAACAAAATTATCAGTAACTCATTCAAATTTATTGATATATTATTGACTCGCATCTCCAACAGAAGTGGAGATTTTTTTCTTACTAAACCAAATTAAACCTCATCTGTGTGGCAAATGTTACAAGCATACATGTGAAATAGAATGCCGTACAGAACTTGGGTTAATTTAACTACAATTAGAACACACTGACCTTTTCAAAGCAGAGGGAAAGTAGAGAATAATTGAGACATAGGCGTGTGGGAGAATTGGCCCTTGGGGGCTTAATAGAGTAAGGGTGGTGGGGGTTGTTGGGTAAGAGGGCTTTTTATAGAAAGAAACGAGTCTCTGCATACAACCTTACAAAAGAGAGAAAGAGCAGCAGCAGCAGCACCACCTAAGCCACCACACGCGTTGCTCACTCGGTTAAAACTCGAAGGGATATGCCTACGCGGCTTCAACACACCCCACTATATAACCTCTGCATCTTGCTGTTGGCAGCTCATCACAAACCACCTCTGCATCTTGCTGTTGGCAGCTCATCACACACCCCACTCAGTAGATGAATATGGCTGCTTCTGCTTCTGCTTCTGCTTCTGCAGTAAGGGGAGTGGCGGTTCCTCGCAGTAGTCGCTGGATCCCAAAACGCGGCCAAGTTCTGAAGAAGATTCTGAAGTCCATCTTTGCTTGTGTGTGCTTTGATCAGATAACAACAACCACACCAACACACACCCTTCATCGGTTTTTCCTTACTGATCGGTTAATATGAGAGTTTTAGTACGTACGTACTCGGTCTAACTTCATTATGTTGTCATCCATTGTCATGCATGTTACTACAGTTTCTTTTACACGTACGCAAGTTGTTCTCATTTACGTTTGGATTGTTATTTGTTCATGGTGGGTTGATGTGAAGCCTTCCATTGAAATTTTGATTCGATATAAGTAACTTTTCTTGGTCAAGTACATCGCGTTCGTCAGTCTCTCTCGATGATCATGTCTGTAATGTCCTCATTGCAATGCAATATTAATGTGTGTTATTGAGTTGCTTGATCAGTAAGCATATTGAGATTTGGGTATCTGTTTTTATTTTTGTCTCTCTTCGATTCAAGATAGCAAGAACACGTCTCCTATATTTTTGTTCCTATGTTTTATTAATTGGCCAGCAAGTTGGTAAAAAGTCAACACGGAGATTCTGTACTACCAAATATGATTGTGATGCTTATGAATACCTTTGTACTTTGTTCTTTTCTGCCTTGGCTTTCTTCGGGTCAATTTAAGTCATGAATAAATTCTCCTAGTTCGTGAAATTGATAACGAAACCTACATATATACATAAAAATAAGAAATTTTATCTCGACTACATATTTAAACACTGTTATCAATTTCACAAACTAGGATTGAGTTCAAACTTTGGAGAGATTTTTCAATGTGATTGGTACACTGGATGGTACACCACGTGTCACTATACAAATTGTGGGATATGTGCTAAAAAGTTAATAACTTAAAAAATAAAATTTTCCACCACTTCTATTAAAATACGTGATGTACTGCTTGTGTTTCCGTTACAATTAAAATTTTCTGCAAACTTTGTCCTCTTGACTTTTACTTTGACCAATCACGTACACGACGGCTGCATGAGTCAAGCATGGTGATGCAAAAATTATTGCGTCACTGCTAATTATTGGGCCAGTATCGATTCTGAAGCAATCATTCAATAATGGGCCTAAGTAGGATTGGTGAGCTATCATATATTAGGCCCAGCTGCTCACCAAACAAAAAGAAAAACCGCCGTTCATGCTTTTAAAAGAATTTACAGACTGAAAATCCCCAATCAATATAATATACGTGCTTTAAATCAGAAAGAGAATCCGGGGATTTGGAAAAAGAAAAGTAGATGATATTCTCACATATACCAAGGGAATTTCTTTTTCTAATTTTAAATAAGATATGCAAGAAATAAACAAGGAGAACATTGAAAAGATAAATGTTAAAGAGAGAGTCTCAAAAGTGAGACATCTCTACGCCATCTCATATCTTTTATAGAATATTTTATAATGTTTAGCATGAAAATTACTGTTGAAATATGAAGTGACAAAGATCCATGAAAAATCTCACTTTGAGAGTCTCCTTCTTAAACTTCTATTTAGAAAGCTTGCGTTTGTGTTTGCACGAAATTGAAGGATAATGCTTGTGTCCCTCCATGGGGTGACGTACTTATCCCTTCAATTACGATTAATGAACATTTACCGTCCGAGCATCAGAATAGTATCTGTTAATCTTCTATATCATAATCCAATAATCATATCTGAAAAAAAAAATATTCAATTTCAAGATTTTTTAGTTATTCATATGTGTTAAACCAATCAATGGTTTTGGTAACAAGTAGCATCTTCATGATAAATCGTTCATTTTTTTATGCATATGAATGGCTAAAGAATTGCCAAATTGAATAATCTTTTGCTTATATGGTCTTTAAATGATAATAAAGAGAATGAACGATTTCGATCATGATGTTTGAACAGTAAAAATTCGTTAATCGTAAGTGAAAGAATAAATAAGTCCCTTGATGAGGACAAAAGCATTACATTCTTTTTACATTCACTACTTGAGCCACCCTACTCATCCTTTTAGGTCTCTCTCTTCTTAATATGGTCCTTTGATTTTTCTCTTTTTTCTATATTTATTACTTTTCTTTTTGGAATATATATCCTTCTTTTTTTTTTGGAATATATATATATATATATATATATTTGATTTTGAGAATGGTGCCCTTTTATTTTCTATATATAAATGACCTAGATTCAGCAAATCCAAAGAAATTGAGTATAAAAAAGGTGAAAGTTATCTTCACCTAAAACAACAACAATGGTTGTTGTAATGAGACCAAACACCAATCCTCGTCACTCCCTTGTCACTCTCGCACAAAGCAATTCGTCAACGACGCCGTATCTAGCTTCTACACAATATAGATGCCGCTTTGGACTTCTGCAACATCTATGGGCAAACGTGATTACTGTGAGTCTCCGAGCATTCTTGCGATGTGCTCTACCGAGAAAAACTAGGTTATCGATTAAAGAGTGTCCGACAATGTTATTTATAGTGTATGTGAGCTTTCTTGGACTTCTACAATCCTAATATTTCCGTTCTATCAAACTGCATGAATGTTATCAAACAATATTATCGAAGTTTCTCTCGTATAGTTCAAATCATATATATTATAATTTGTATCACGAAAAGTCAAAGGCTCATCGAGGGTAGTGATCGATGATCAGTGTAGCGCATACAAACAGCAATTAATTAGAACAAAATATATATATCAATATTTGGTGCATGTTTTCATATATACGGTCCCACATGTTAGATATTGTCTTGAATAATCCCTGTGATGTTTTTGAATTTTGGGTATTGACCTAATTACTGACCTATGTATTGAAGAAGACATGCACCACAGAACATGAACAATGTATGCAATTATTAGTCAACAATCAGAAATGATTGGCGCACTGCTAACAATTACATGATTAACATAATTCGTGCCTCACGATCCCCATGCCTTAAAAGTCTTGGTCGATCAGATATGTATATATAATGGAAAATGATTTGATGTTTAATTACTATGGTGGTGGTAGTAGTTGGAGTCTGCAGCAGGGTAGCTATGAAAAAGGTAAAGGATGGGAAATGGAAGATGATGAATCCATCCACCTTCTGTTCAAAGAATATTAATGGGTTGGGTTATACTATATTTGTCATCGTCACTACAAGAAAAATTGATGTCATTTATACATAATGGAGTGAACAAATGTCAAATGAGTTGAGAAAAAGCACATCATTGGCTAATAGGGTTATTGGTACACCTTACTTGTTTTATTTTGTGCAATTCATGTCAGTCGTTAATCTCTAATTTTCAAATTTGTATAGTATTCCTATTGTCGGATAGTCATAAGTAATGACATCTAATATATTGTGTACCCCCTCCAATTGTCCCCACTTCAACAAATCAAATGACCAAACTGATCTACTTTCACTTTAGTCTCTTTACACCTAGCGAAAACTGGGGCATAGCAGATAACATATATTGCCTTATAGGCAGGTCTCCGTGCCAGACAATATGTTGGAAGCTTTAATCTTTGAAGAGGCATTTTCGTTTCTATTCTCTTCTCTTCTTTTGCTTTCTTTCTTTTCGGCCTTTTTCTTTTACTACTTTCTTCTTTTCCATTAATTCAACCATCTTTATTATTATCATGACCTTTGAAATGATGTCTCTTGTTGCACATTAAATACCTCAGTTAGTCAGTAATCTACACAAAAAACTTGAGTATTAACAGATACTTAGCACACTCACTCACCCAGTTAATGTAGATAATATTGTTTATTAAAAAAACAATAGTAAATAACAACTCTTACTTGTGTACGTAAAAGTAAAGCCATAACACATGGACTGTGAAAACATATATAGGGTTTTCTATACAATTCAGACAGATCGGACATATTAATTTAAACTAATTAATTAGCTAATTAATCAAAGATGGATCGAACTCATGATTGGTAACTAGCTAGCACCGAGGCCATTAACTAATTAAATGACGATGATTATTTTAACCTTTGGTTCTGATAATAGTGATTGTGCCTCTGCCCTGGGTTTGAATTCTGGTAAGGGCCACCACAGCTTTGCCAGAAAGGCCAGGGCCATCCGCAGACACGCATGGCCGACATGCAAAGTCCCCAACTGGGTGTCGTACTGGCCGTGTTGGTGGCATTAGGATCCTCTCGTTGATGTCGCTTAAGGTGACGTCGCCTTCTACTCCGCCGGGCTTCACCAACGCAAATGGATAAACTACCCTTGTTATCACCCTCTTCTTCTTTTTTCTCTTTTCATCACCACCACCACCTGTATTAGAGAACATGCCAATAATATTGTAAGTTTTGTTTGAGTAATGCTATTTAGTTATCCACAGTCACACTCTCTGATACAGGTGAATCTCGTATGCAATGGCAGGAAATTAAAGAGTACATGCATATGTGCGCAATGTAGTTGGTTTTATGTGTTAAATTAACATTATTGAATTTAGAGTTGTTTTAGAATAGGTTACTAGATTGGTATGTGTACGTACCGGCAGCTGGAGCAGCAATATTGGAAAAAAGGGTTTCTTTGGGAGTAGGTAAATAATCAGAGTTGGTGTTGGTCGAATCTTTGCAAGAAGAAGAGGAGGAATCAAAAGCTTCAGGAGCTGACATTGTTGGCTCTTCTGGAGTGTTTATCTTTGAGTCGACGATGTCATTTGTGATCTCCTCGGAAACGAGTCTGTTCATTGGTCTGGTTATACATAAAGGATCACCAAGTAGAACTGAAAGATGAAATCAACTTTAGAAAGATGAAATCAACTTTGGAAATCATAATTAAGAAAGAACTAAAAGTAATTATTAATTAATTATCAATTAATTACCTGATAGCCCAGTACTGGAAGTAGTTAGCTGGCTCATGCAATCAAAATTCTCAG